TTTTTTTTTTAAAAAGAATCTATTTGTATCTGGACTGCATAACTCTGGAAAAATACGCATTACAGTGCTGAAAGAACGTGACTAGTACTTAGAAAATGTGTCACTGGGACACAGGTAGAGGGGTTTTGTTCATTTTGAATTTCTGTAAATTTTGTGTCCGTTGATTACAATGTCTTAAAAACAAACTGGACAGAAAATATAATTTTGCCCCTTCATATGAGCTAAGAAAAACCTGTGGAAGTGATGGAGATAGGTCTGCAGGAAGTGGTTTTCACTCCTTCCCAGGGTCTCTGTGTGAGCTCTGGCACCTACTAGTGGGCCAGCAGCCAGCCTAAAGAGGAAGCCAGTGGCAGTGAGACAGACTCTTGATGCAGTGCTAATTGGCCCCATGGGGACTCTTTTACCCAAACGGCCTCATCCACTCAGCCAACATATGGTCACCTATAAAAATTCTGAAGGCTGATTAAACGGCTTACTAATACTTTGTTTCACTTGCTATTTATATTTTGAGTCTTTGGGGCAAGTAGGAGGAACAACAGCCTTATTGATTAGTTCTAACTCTAAATGTCAAATGGGGGGAGGATAAACTAAATTGCTGCAGTGAATTTTTTTGTTATATTAGAATTGTCTGAATTTTAATTAAATAATACAGTTTCTAAATTATAAAGCTGAAAAATTCACACATGGATATTTGAAAAAGTAAAATTCTTGATAAAATACAGAAAAATTATCCTTTGAAATTTCTCTGTGACAGGTGTCCTTCTAGTCAATCAAAACGTAATTTCCCCGTAATTATACACAGAATGAAAAGAACTTAGGAAATATTTAATATGCAAAGGCTTATCAAGATGACTGACAACCACTGGAGGAAACCCACATCGGTTGCTCTACAGAATCAAATTCAAGACTGAGCTTAGGAAAGAGCTTTGACTCACTTCAGGAATAACGACTTACTCTGCATTCATGAAAGTGCCTATCAGATAGCACAGGAAAATTATTTTGGTTAGCCTCAAATTAGAAATATTTCAGAAGGAAAATGGCCTACTGAGTCAAGCATTAAAATATTCATGAAAAGAGTATCTTCAAAGAGTTTAATAATTATGAATGCTATGGTTCAACATATGAATATACAGTACTCTCAGGGGCAAAAAAGGTTCTAAGGTCTAAGCAAGCACAATGTTTTCAAACCAAACAATGACTTCAGGAAACTCAAATGAGAGGGGAGACACAAAGCAGAACTCATTCTTCTCACGAATTACTGTACTTTTTCCTCCCCTTCAGCGTTTCCCTGTCCCATAAAGGTGCTATCTTCACAGGGGTTCTCGCTAGACACCCGCAGTCATCCTAGGCGCTTTCTTCAGGCCCCAATTAAATGAACCACCAAGTACCAAGCTCTGTCAATCCTGCATAATCCTTTCAGTCTGGCTTTTTTTTCTTTTGCCTAACTCAGGTCCCTCAGGTCCATTCCTTCTCCCTGGATCACATCATGGCTTCCTTGCTGGCTCCACATTTTGCTCTTGCCTGCGTTCCCAATCCCACGTCCCCTTTAACTCCACCCTCTACACCACCACCAAAGGGAACTTAGGAAACATGACTGATAGTCTCTCTTCAAAACTCTTCAGCTGGGCTTACAGGATGTGTCTAACACCGCAGCTTGACATTCGAGGAAGGTCTTTCAAGATACGGCACCCACATCTTAGCTACCATCACTAGACAGTGTCTCCTAGAAGCTCTAGTGGTGACATTCTATGTCTTTTGTCAACTCATGACTTCTTTTTTGTTTTCTGAGGTGCAGTTCAGCGGCCCCTCCAGCTTTACGAATCCTCAGGGTAGCCTAAGAGACAACACACCCCCTCACAGCATCTGACCACATGACAGCACCTATCATCAGTATGTTTTGTATGAATACATGTAGTTTTGTTTCTGTTTTTTTGTTTTTTTTTGAGACAGGTTCTCTATATGTAGCCTAGACTGGCTTTGAACTCATGGTGATCCTCCTGACTCAGCCTCCTGGGTGCTGGGATTACAGGTGTGCGCCACCACCCCAACTCAAATATATGTGCTCGTAACCCTCATCAAATTATAGGTCAGGAGGACAAGAACCATGTCTCAACTTCTTTATGACCATCAATACCTTATCTAAGCCTTGGAACATACTGAGTAGTCAAGAAATTGGAGAGGAGCGACATGATAGGCAGATGTATGCAATGAATGTGTAACTGAACTAAAATGCATTCTCATTACTGTAAATAGTATTATACAAAACTAGGAATCTGCTTAAAGTATGAGCTTTACTTAAAACCTTCATTCTACCATGTTTGGGGCTAAATTTCTCACTCCAGATAGTAATTTGGTAAGTTAAATAAACGTTTCCTTTTTTATGGCCTATATCATCTCTAAAAGGATTTGAGATACTAGGGAAATAAATTAAACTGGTTTAAGTTCAAATTAAAGAAAAAAACACCTTTGTGGAAACTACTACTTAAATATGTCTGTTTCTTCCCTACAAATATTCAGTAATAACAATTTGTAGTTTGAGTCCCCCTTCCCAATAAAGTAGTATTTAAAATATGTATTAGAAAGTTTTAGGAGAACAACAAAGAAAGGATAAAAGAATTTTACATTTATAAAAAACAAGCACTTTAATTAAGACATCTTTTGAGACTATACTAGCAAAACTTTTTTAAAATTTTAAATGCAAGCATAATTCCACAATTCTTTTGAAGAGTTAAAAGTTGAAAGGGTAAGGAGAAACCATTTCACTGAGAGGACAGAATGAGCAACATCCCAGGAAAGTGTAACTAGCAACTATTTCATTCATGCCTTTTTAGCCTTAGCACATAGAAACCAGAATATCACTGCTTAGTCACTGCTTGAGCACTAAAATACTGGTTCAATGAACAGAAAAGCAGACAACAAAATAATAACACATGGCAGCACTAACATACTGAACTGGATCGCTTTCACGTGTAGCTCTAATCCGGGCATTCAGAGTGTGTGGAGGGCCCACGCACCAACAGCACCTGGGATCTTGTGAGAATGTAGGTTCTCCGGCCCTGCTCAAGGCTGACTGAGTTACACTCTACATTTTCACAAGATCCTTTGATCAGATATAGGCACATAAAAACTTGAGAGGCGCTGCTTTTAGTGTCCTCTGGAATTTTCCCATGAGAAGTTACCTAGTCCAAAAAGAGAGATGCTTTTTTTTTTTTTATTTTAAAGATAAAAGAATGAAAACATATTAACAAACACACAGACATAAAACAACACAAATATAATAAAAGCAATACAGGGTTTCAGACAAGGTGATAGGAAATTAACAAGGGTTGCTGTATTATATATTGTTATCTTCAAACTGGTTACTCAGATGAACAAATATAGGCATGTAAGACTGATCAAACAATTAAACATTAACTCTTCCTTTCAACAAAGCAATATGGGAGCTCATGCCTGAGCATCAAATGAAGGACTGAGTTTAGAGCTGTCTGATGTGTGCCTCTGGAGCAAAAGAATTAAATACTTAATTGGTGCTGGCCTTGGAGAACACCTGCCAGGCTGGCTTCAGTGTCAACCAGGGCACTGAAGCGGGTCTCTGTTTCCTCGCACTGACCCTCAGTGATGGGCCTCAGTCAATGTGGGTGAACAGACTGAGTGAATAGACTTGGAAGGACAAAGACGTATCGGTGCCACTCCGAAAAGCTGCCTCCTCTCCAGGAGATTGTGACTCTGTTCAAGGGTTCACTGTTACTTTTCACAAGACCTGAGTTAGCATTGAAATGACATCGTTTAATCACAAATAACAAATCTACTCGAAAATCTCTTCTCATTAAATATGTGTACGTAAGTATGAAAGAGTAACTCTGAGCATCCTGGTTTTAGTCCCATGTCTTCTTTTTAAGAACTCAGCACATACAGGAAGACACGACTGGCATGTGCTACCCCAAGAGGGAGACAAGGATGGAAAAGACATCTGTCCTGGCCCCCAGAAATGCACAGAGGAAGTGACTGATGCATCTCTGACATGTCAGTTCAGTTCAATTCTGTCAGAGAGGGAAACCTAGGCTCAGAGGTGGACATACCAGCTGGATAGTGCAGGCCTAAAAACCAAGGCATTCAAGTCACAACATGGACTGCATGTTCATGGAGCACAGGATACAAACTCCAATGGTATTAGAAAGCAACAGAGATTTTAAAACGGTTTCAGGATGTAAACATGACTTAGTATAGAAGAATGGGTAATATTTCAAAATATGTCCTTTCCAAGAAGACTGTGTCTCAACAACAAAAAAAAGTGGGGCTTGACTTCATGCTCTCCCCTCTGGGGCATCAATCTGAAAACCAGAAGAGGTGAAGTTTGACCCGACGGCCCCACAGTTTGAGTACATAACAAAAGCTGACTCCACCTTCACATTTGAAACATGCAGCTCTCTCCGAAATGATCACATTGCAAAATTATGCAAATCTGAGATAAAAGAAGAGAACAGTGAGGCCAAGAGTATAAGGCTGAATCTGAAAACATTCTTACTTACACTGAAAATGGGTATCTCGCAAGTCCCTACGACTAGACCCTTCAAAATCCTTACAGAGAACAAAATATCCTCCTGCCTCAAGGAAGCCAAGTAAAAGGATAATTTTAAAGTAGAACACTGAATTTTTGTTAAAAAAATCAAACATGGTTAGTAGGGCTCGTTGTTGGGAGAGGGACCTAAGCACCCCGCAAGTGCCTGCTGGACACATGACGAGGGCAGGACTCTGTTCTCTTCTGACCACTCCTCAGAGATGTGCAGCGAGTGAGGGAGGAGATCACAACTTCCCCAAATAGCCCAGGCTTGGTGTGCATAACCGCTCTAGGTGTGCATAACCGGTAACTCAGATCTCCTCTCTTCTGGCACAGGGCAACGCATGTGCCTCTGCCACCATCCCAATAGAACTTAAACCTCTGTACGGTTCTGGACCCTGGCAGTGAAAAAAACCATTTGTGTTACTAAGATTTCTCTTACCGGATCCAGGTTCTTAAACAGCAGGATGTCTTTGCAAGCTTCTTGCAATCTATTTCTTTGATCGTCAGTTTTTGGATGTATAATCTAAAAGGACACCAAATTAAAAAATATAAAAACAAAGAAAATTGTTAGCACCAATCAAAATCTAACAGAAATCAACAGAAAAGCTAGAAAGAATTGGTGCTTAAGTTTGGTTAGCGCAGAAATTCACTTTAGATGACTAGTCACCATCAGACCACTAAGTAGGAGAAAATAATATGTCCCCATGGAGTGGTATACATTCACCCACATAGCACTTGAATGTTTTTCAGCAGTGTTCCCCCAGGTTAGCAAGTTCATTCTGCAAAGGCATATGATTGGCTAGAGAAAGTCCAAAGTTCCCAGCCAGCAGGGACAAGCACAAGAGGACAACCACAGCAGTGAAAATTTAGAGACTGTCTTTATTCTATTTCTACTAATCTTAATACTCTTTCAGAATGCAGCTCTTTCCTTTGAAACTTGATGAAGTCCCCAGAAGAAAGGAAATTCGTAAATGTAGAAAAGCTGGTATATTACATTCCTATAGCCTCACTACTTTTTTTTGCAGCAGGGTGAAGATGGAAGAATGCTTTCTGTAGGAGTAGCCAGCCAACTCTGGGGTCCCTTTTGCCTAACAGAAGGCTCACTGGATCAAAGGTCCATTCTTTTAGTACGTGGTGCAGGGGACAGAACCCAGTGCCTTGCACATGCTAAGTAAGCACTCTTATCCTTGAGCTATACCCCAGCCCAAATGGTCCAGTTTGTTGCAACATTGGTAGTTTGCATGTATGAAATGAGTTAGAGAGAGGACAGTCCTAAAAGCAGACATGCAGCTGGTTTCCTGGACACCTATACATTACCTTCTCTTATTCCAATATTCACTTAAAGAGTGACCATGACAGCTGATGAGTAGGCTCCTCACCTCTTCCGTCCACCAGCTAAAATTAGCCATCAGTGAGTTTGTACCCAAAATATATCAAAACTCACAGCGTGGCAGGGGATGAAATTCAGGGGTAAGAGTACTTGCCTAGCATGTGTGAAGCCCTGGGATCAATTTCTAGTACCATAAACGAAAAGCACTCAAGAGGAAGTTTATACCAGCACATCAGATGGCTAAAAATTAATGAAATCATGAGCTAGAAAGAACTGAAGAAACAAGTATATGCAAACTATTTCATGTATTATTATTATTTTTTTGTTTGTTTGTTTTTTTCTGGTACCGGGAACCGAACTCACGACCTTCCACTTGCCAGGCAGGCGCTTTTGCCGCTGAGCTAAATCCCCAGCCCCTCACGTATTATTTTAGACTACTTGAAGGACTAGTGACAGAAGTCACTGCATTATGTCTACAAGGGTGAGGGACAAGGAAACCTTTGATTATTATCTAACTGTCGCTCACTCCAAACTAGCGTCTAAGATAACTGGTGAACGCAAAAAGTAGATCCTGGTGCCCTGTTCCGCTACTGCACAAGAAACTTCTATAATTCAGACTTCAAATCACACCAACCAAAATCCACTTCTTCCTACTTTGAAAAAGAAAAGCTAATGTAATGAAACAAACAAACAAAAAACCTGGTACTTCTCACTTCACAAAATCCATCCAGAACCTTAACCTGAGGCAGGGGTCTGTGTCTCTACTGATGAGTGCTGTCCTTGGACAGAAGGCAGAGAAACACCACAACCCACAACTTCACTCCTATCTGCCTGTCTTCCTGGCTTTGTCCGCCCTTCCCTTCCTACAGAGCCCTCACACAGAAGCCCAGCCTTTTCCTTTTCTTTCTTTGCTCCTGCGTCTGTTCTTATCAACCAATACTTCCAAGCTCTCTGATTCTCAGTCCCGCCTCTCCTGCTGCTGGCCACTGCTGTCCTTGGGCCTGCTCCCCTCTCCCCCTCTGGTTCCTCAGGACCCCACCCCTCTGTGTCACCCTCTCCCTCCCTCCCAGTGAGACCCCACCCTGCACTCTGATCCTGGCCCTCAGTCGCTGCTTTTCTGCCTCTAAAGCCTAGTCTTTCCCCAGTGGGCTTTGTGTATCCTACATAAGGGATCTGTTTCTGGATTCCCACCACGTCAATAATATCCAAAGTGCAATTTCTGTTATACTAGAGGCTAATTTAGTATGTATTAAAATTTATTTCTGATTTTAAGATTAAATCTTGTTTGTTAAACACTAGTGTAGCATTTACCATGTGGCAAGTGCTGCTTTACAGACCCTGCAAACATGAATTCGTACCGTCCTAGCACAACCCTAGGACGTAGGCACTGAGAGGTAAGAAAACGGACCTCCCCCAAGTGAACTCCCCAGCGCCCCTGGCCCCTAACTGCAGAGGAGACTTCACCGGGCAGGGCTGGTGGGCTACACTCTAAACCAGGGATCGGCAAACTACACCTCAGGCAAACCTGGTTTTGTATGACCTCTGGGCTAAGAATGGCTTTACCTTTTTTAATGATTAAAAAAACCAAGCCAGCATCTCCTGATGCATGGAAATTACATGAAATACAAATTTCAGTGTCCATAAATAAAGTGTTCATGTCATGCAAATGTGCTCTACCTCTGGCTGCTTTCAAAGTACTGCAGCAGAGGAGAGCAGCTGCAGGAGACCGTATGCTCCTCAAGCCTAAATTATTCATTATGAAAATAGTAAATTTTCAGGAAAATAAAAACTACCGAAAAAGCCTGCCAACTCTTACTCTAAATCTCAGCTGCCCGTCAATAAGAAGAATTAGAAAGCTAATTAATAAATAAGGTTTACTCAGGCACGTTCTTTGAAGAACACTGTATCTGTTACCAAACAAAATTCTGTGCAAGATATTTTCGTATCTGTCCAGTCCACTGTATGGACAGGGCAGAAACTCATCTCGCACAACATTCAATCAGAATACCCATTCTCCAGCTGCAGGCCTCAGAGGGCTCCACCCCCGCAGTCCTTCCTTATCGGCTTTGCCTCAGCCACCAGGCAGCGCCTCTGCTTGGACTCACACCCTCACACTCCTCCTCCTGCTCCTCCTCCTGGGCCCAGAAGATGATTCCTGGCAAGACTCACCCGTCTGTCTCACCTCAACGAGGCCCAGATGGTTTGGGCATCCGAATTCGCACACTGTTACACTGTCAGGGCTTCACGTCAATTATGCATCGATTTGGTATGCGTCTGTCTGTGTCTGCCATCAGCCTCTTGCTAGCAGAGGGCAGGGGCAGCTCATTTTGCTCACCACTGCATACCATACTGAGCACCTGGCGCTCGTGCAGTAGGCTGTCCAAGAGGGCTTTGCAGAGTAACAAGGTAAACACATACTCTATTTTGAATTTATCAGCTCTTCTCTCCCAGGCTCTGCAGGCTAGGTTCCACAACATACAATCCTTAAATTTTCATTAATTTAAGGTAGTTCAACTAAAATCTAATTTGTTATTTTCCGAAACAAATCTTAAGTATTTACATTTTCTTTGAATTAATAAAGAAGGACAAATACCTATTAATAATAAAAATTTAAGGCATGGGTGATATATAGCACCCTATAATACAAAACATCTATATACAATGTGACTCTATCAAAATACAGTATACATTTTCCTCATGGACATTTTCTAGTATCTGTCAAGGGCTAATTAATTTTGAAACACGTAGTAAGCATTCCCAAGGGCTACGGTACAGTTTGCCTTATGGTTTCTAAGGGGCAAAAAAGCATAGTTTTCAGTAACCTGTCTAGGGGAGAGAGTACTCCCCTAAAATACTTACGCACTTTATTATAATCTTTGACATAATTCATATAATAGTTACCCCAAAAACCCTTAAAATGTATTACAGAGAAGAAGTCTTGGAGGCACGCCCACCCTACAAAACCTCCTCCTCCTCCTCCTCCTCCTCGTAACTGCTGCCCTTCTCACATCTGGACTTCCGGACCTGACCCATGCAGGGCACTATCAGAAACACCTGTACAACTGGCAGTGAGCGCTCAAGGACACAGCAACGGGGGAGATTGCAAGCTGAGTGTCTTTCTAAAGCAATACTCTAGTCCTCTCCCCTTGCTGCTAACAGGCCCCCAAGCTAGCTCCGGCCTGTCAGCGATAGCTTGAACATTATCTGGGAGTAATAAGACCTTGAACATTATCTGGGAGTAATAAGATCTCTAAACATCTGTCCAATAAATTCTCCCCATTTTCTTTTTTATGTTTATCTCAATGTGATCAGGTTCTTTAACACAGGCAAGTAAAATAAGTTTTCTTTCCGCTAGTACTGGGGAAAAAAATCTCTCCAACAGAGCCACTGAGTTGGCACAAACCAGCCACAATACTTTACTCATCTCAGTGCTGGCTAAAATTCCTTTCAAGGTCTCACAACCTTGGACTCAATGAGATACCACACCGTGTTTCCCAACTGTGCTGTTAAACACTCTCTGGTTTAGATTTTTACTAATTCACACCACTTCTTCAAAACTCAGTCACCCGCTAAATTTTATAGTATACATTTGTCCACAAACATGAAAAATGGATGTAGCCTTCAATGTCACCTTTCCTGCTGCTGCTTGACACCTAAGTAAGATAGGCAGGGTGAAGCTGTTCACACTACACGAAGTAGTAACAGCGTATCAGATTAGCAGAAATATTTTGATCCTAAAGCAACAGTTTCCAGCCTGAAGTTCTGGGAGTGGAAAAGATAGCTGGTGCGGGGACTCTCCATGGGCCCCACAGAACAGTGAGACCTCAGGATCTTCCCCTTACCGGCTCCTTCCTGATCTCTCCCTCCCTGGATTTTATACACATTTCACAGAACTTCTCGATGAAATCACTTAAGGACCTACTGTCTGCTTCTCCGTACTAAAATCCCATCTTACTGAAGTAATTTTCAGAGCTTGAGAAATAGGTTTTTGTTTATACTTTTAAGGCCAAAGAGACATGGGGATTTTTGCAAAGTATGCACTCAAAAAAAAAAAAAAAGGAAATTGAACTTTCCATTTGCAGGCACAGTAATCTCTTATTTAGTTTACTTTTTAGTGAGTAAATAAGAGGAGAACCAAGCTAAAGGACACAGTTTAAACACTGCGTCAAACCAAACCAGTCAGATTCTTGCAAAATCATTAGGGCCTCCAAGGAAGCAGCTGCTGAGCAAATTATCAAGACCCATAGACTTTTAAAAACAGCAACTGCTGCACTGATACCTTCGATGTAATTTTACTACTACTTGTTTGCTTCCAAGTAAGCTTCTGTTGTTATCCGTGAATAGGAGAAGGCCTTTTTCGTATTTTTCTTTACTAGAAACACTTTCTAAGAAAAATAACATTACTATGAAAACCATCACTAAAAACATTTTTCATCACCAGGATATATTTTGCAAACAAACCAACCAACAAACGAACAAAACACTACCAGTGCAATGAGTAATGTACTGCTCTTCTTTCCTTTTATCCAAAGACATGTATTTTTGGGTAAACATCATTCTACAGAACTTGAAGCAGAAGTAGGCTATCAGTGAGAAGACTAAGAAAAGAAACAGTCAAAATAATTCCACTGTTTCCTATTACACCGTATGCCTGTTGACATCTTTTGTTATGATTATTTTCCTTACAAGACACCAGAGTGTCACTTTAAAATTCTTCCTTCAGCAAGTTACACACCCGGGAGTCTGCATCGTCTTCCTCTTCATCGGGGTTATACGCTTCTGCACACACTGGAAACATAAAAATGCACATTTTAAGATCTGTTCATCAAAAAACATTACAGTAAATATATCTTTTTAAATTACTGAACAGAAAGTTCATGACATTAAAAATACATTAATTTTAGGGCAAACAGTTTACTCCCTAAAACCGATTTCATATCATAATTTGTAAGGATTTTCTTAGACTACAAAGCTGTATTTATAAGACATTGACAACTGTTTTTTTTTTTGCTTTCTTCTATTCAAAGCTTAAATGCTTTTGTCTCTATTTCCAAGGCAAGGAAGTGCTTCAGAGTTAAAAGTATCTTTTAAAAAATGCAATAAAGTCCAACTCAGCCATGAAATGATCACGGGGTGAGGCAGGGTCTCTATGTAGCACAAGCTGGCTCTTAACTCAAGGTGACCCTCCTGCCTCAGCCTCTTGAGTGCTGGGATCATAGGTGTGTTCCACCACACCTGGCTTAAATGATCAATTTAATCATACAGCTATGAGCAACTTTCATAAATTATTCACAATCCACTCTTTAAAGAACTACTACTCTTGAAATGTACAAATTCCCGTCCAGTCTTTATTCTGAATTGTTTATACTGCATATTCAATTTTTAAAACTGCTTTTTTTCATTTAACACTATGGGGAATTTTGTATGTCACCAGAAACAGTAAATATTGTTTTTAAGGTCTGCTGGTTATTTATCATATGCTATAATTAACTACTTCCCTAACACTGATCACTTAGGCTGGCTCTGACTAAAACGCTGCAGTAAATATCGTCATACATAAATATTTGTCTACATTTCAGATTATGCTGTAGGCCTAATCCTCGAGCGTTACTCTGGGAGGGTAAAAGGCACGACAAATTTCAGGACGGAGTTATGACCGTGCTTCTCTCCAGAAGGGTTGTACTCCTGCATCATCCTATGAATCACGTATAAAAAGGCTCCTTTCACCATTTGAGAAAACTGGACATTATTTCCAATTTTATTGCCAATTTAAAAGATTTAAATTTTTAAATATTAAGTTTGAACAACTTCAAATGTTTATAGGCTGACCATGTTTCCTCTTTTGTCTTTATCTATGGGCAATATTTGGTTTCTTTTTTGACTTAAACCAGTTTCCTAATACTATTCTGTTTGTTACAGTACTACAATCTCTATGCAACTAGGTTTTTAATGCTTACTATAAAGTTTTAACAGATTATGTGTTTGCTTCTTTTTAAGGTAGTGACATCTGTCAAGGAAGAACCTGCTCTAGTGTGATTTAAACCCCATGTTAGATGCCGCAAGAGTCCTGCTTTTGAGCTTGGACACCGGTTTGCAAAGCTAATTTCAGGCTTTTAAGGACTGGTCTTCACATTTATTCTTTGTTCCACATGGAGTCTGTTCTGACACACGTACTGAACCTGAAAGAAGAAAAGACTGACAAAAGGCTGAGCAACGTCTTCCCAGAGGCCCCAGGCCGCCATCCCGAGTGTCACTGTCATCACCGTAGTACCACCATCACCACCCTTCTAACACCGCACGCTCCTGTCTCTCTCCAGGCACCGCTCTACACACCGCGCCAATGGTTCTTAACCAGGTCCGAGTCTGCCCTCCACAGAGGACATCTGGAAATGTCTAGAGAGATTTTGATGGTCACAACCGTGACAGGGATGGTTTTACAATGCCCCCACAACCTCACACAAAGCATTATCTGGCCCAAAATGTCAACAGTGCTAACGCTGAGAAATCCTGATCTGGTATAATGTAACTAGATCGTACTCAGCCTCACTACAGCAGAACACGTTAATGTCATCATCTGACAGATGAAGACTAGGCCACAGACAGGCCAAAGTCACACATCCTAGTAAGGGGCAGGACCCATATTTGATGCCAGGATTGTCTGTGCATCTCCCAAGACTTTACCCCAACTGCTGCTCAACACTTGACTCTTTGGTGACTTTACCAGCACAATGCTTAGACTTCGACCTATTGTCTCAGAAATCCAAAAGTAGCAGCCTGTCTCTTAGGGGCAGGCTCTGAGACCCTCCGTGATGCATATAAGCAGAACTTAACCGAGTAACTAACTTCCAGGATGAACCTGGAGTCAGCACAGCCAGCCAGTTCTCTCCCGCAATAAAACCACAGATGCCAAATCACAATTCAGAAGTTGCTTGGTGAGCAGGACATGCGTCAAAAAACATAATGTCTAACGGTACTGGCCCTGACAGCCACAGGCCTCCACACGTACACACATAATACACATGCTCCTGCTAACGTGGCTGGCCCACTTTACCTGGACTGGCTGCAACTCTCCAGGAGACATGAGGACATCTATTTCTACATGGTGGCTCTGCAACTTTCTATCCCCACAGACGACCAACCTCACAGACAGGACTACTACCTAATTTGTAGGGCCCAGAGCAAAAAGAAAATGTGGGTCCTATATTCAAAAATTCAGACTGTCCAAAGAACCACCATAGCCGAGAACTAAACCAAATTCTGTGTCCCTGTGAGTATGAGGCTCATCAAGATGGCCTACTTCATAGGATCAACACATTCACTGCAGCAAGGTGATAAGTAGCTAATTTACTTGGTTCTTTTAGTAACTTTAACCTATTATTTTCCAAGTATCAGCTGTCCCTGAATTATTACTCAGAATCCCTCTACTTTGCGATAAACATACTCTAGCACAAAGTATGCTTGTTTGTATCTGGGCTGTCTCATTAATCTATCTATTGTGCCAGTATTATAAGGATTTAGTTCTTGGCATTTATGCTGCAACTGTTTCACTAGATTAGAATTCACCTCCTGTCACCAACTCAAAATAAAGCATTTGATATTATGTGAAGTTGCTGTGTTGCCTTACAGCTCTTTATAGTCATTTAAACTGCTTCCTCTAATTGGAACTCTCTCCCCATTCTCTTTTCCAACACATCTCTTCTCCTCAGCCACAACTAAAAAGTCAGCTCAAAATTCCTACCTTGGCCTGGGTACAGCTCAGTGATGGAGCACCTGCCTGGCACACACGAGGCCCTGGGTTCCTTCTCCAACGCTACCATCTTGGCCTGACTTGTCAAGTACACACAGCTCATTCAGGAAACTCCACTCTGTGCTCATCCTTTGCACTCTCCTGGCACAGTATGAAGAGTACATTATCATCACCTAGCATAACATATTCTTCCAAACATGCTACAGTCTCTAGCCTCTCCAGGTGGGACATGCAGCCCTTCAGGGACTGTCTGTGCTCTTGTCCATCTCTCTGTTTAGCAGCACTGACACAGAGCACTGCCTGCCTCAGCACACATGTGAGCGAATGAATGGTGAACAAACAAGCTTGCGGTGCTTCAGAACGAGATGACGTCTCTCTGTAATAGATGCCTGAGTTACAGACTCAAACTATATGCTGAATCAGTCAATGAACGAAAGGATGCTCTGCATTACAATGTCCTATACTATTAGTCCCGGAAATGGAGGTGGACAGGAGGAGTGGGAGGATGGCTTCTGTCTTATTCACTAATGCAATTAGGAGCTCAGTAAATATTTGTGCAACAAATAAATGAATGTCAAGTCCTCTGCCTGACTGCCCGTCAAGCCCAAGTCTCCAGATACCGTAGAGAACCTCCTATTCTTGCTGAAGTGCATGTGGCCCATGTCTTCTAGACCATCTGAACTTCGGCTTGAAAGCTTGTACTTTATTCCTTAGCGATTAAACAGTGGTACAAGATAGAGCCGTATTTTTTAAGTAAACCCTACACTGAAGTTTCACTGGTATGTTGTGGGTATGTATTCAGACACCATACTAGCTGTCTAGAATGGGCCAAGAATTTAGGCAGATTCTCACCCTGCAGAAAAGCAGTGGGGTAGCCTGACAACAGTCACAGACTGCAGAACAGGCAGGAACGTAAGAACTATACCAACTGCTCGACGTGGCCTGCCGTCTTTTCATGCACTATACATACAGTGTGGTAGACAAAGTGTTACGGCAACTAGGGGAGTTTTTCACCAAGAACGCTTTTTACTTTGTTGCAATGTTTGAAAATCAGTGCAGTCAAAAAAAGCCTCTGCACTAGACAAATTACACCCAATCCACACTGGCATTCTGCTAACGAAGGATAAAGGAACCAGACGGAACACCAGGAGCCACCGGGTCCTCGGCTGTGACCCAGCCTTACACACAGTGTATCTCCATAAATATTTATTGAGAGAACGAAAGGCAAATATGGCCTGTACAGGAAGACTGCATAGTTTAGAGGCCTTCAACCTACAGGAAAAAAGCTGACTTCTATACAATATGTAAAAGTCAATTTCCCAGTGTTCTCAACAGACTAAGATTTTAGCATACTTATTTAAATAATAATGAGCTTAAAATAAAGCAATTAAAAAGCACAGGTGTGTTAAAACAACAAAGTTCTGACTTAATATAGTTAAACTTGGCTTAGTGAAGCGGCAATGCCCTACAAAAGGGAAATTTTTACCTTTGATAACCGTCAGTGTAAGGCATGCATCTCAGCCAAGAAAATAGTTCTTGGGGGTAAAAATAAGTTACTTTTTATGTATAAAGCACAAATAAACATTAAATACATACACACATACAGTGCATCTGGTCAGTAGTAAAATTTCATCGGGGTAGTTGTAGGGGAAAAAGTCTAAAAATTTAGACTTGGGAAGGGCCACAATGGATGACAGACAGAAAAACAGGTATAAAAATGTAATAGTTATAGCCAAAGGAAGAGAACAGTGATGGTAATAGGCCTCCCCCTCCCCTATTCATTCACATTTCTGCCCAGGTAATTTCATATATATCTGACGTCATTTTAAACTCACAGAGCAGAGGCATTTGGAGAACATGCCCCAAATGTAGAAGTTCACATTCTAATCTCAAATCACATTGAAGCAAAAGGCCCCACAGGAACCCATTCTTTTGAAAGTATTTTAATTTTTATTTTCTTTTAAAAATTTTTATTTTTATGAGTACATGCTTACAGTACATAATGAAACGTGGGAGTAACACGAAGAATAAAGGAAAGGCA